AGTTTTCGTGCCTAGCTTCATTCTACCTGGTTCTTTGTCTCATTTTGATTACCTTTTCCAACAAGTCAGCCTTTATCCCTGGATACAGAGGGTTAACAAATTATTGCTTCAAGCTCAGGTCGTATAACCTTTGCGTTGCTGAAAACAGTGACATGCAGCAAGTATAGTTTCAGGCCAATGAGGTTATAAATAGAATTACATTTTATTCTGAGGCTCAAACATTTAAAATCACATTGTAGCTTGTTTTCAGCCTGTAGATGTGTTATTGGATTTGGGGTACGTTGAAGCGGGAAACGAAACGGAGAGGGGTAATAGGAGTGGGCATGCGAAAGAGGGGGGGGGGTGCTAGTAAGCGTTTTACAGCACTTGCAACACAATTTGCTCATCGGACAAATCATACAAAATAGTTTCTCGTCGAGCAAGACATCAATTAAATACCAATATTGGTTGACATACTCGAGCAAACGCCAAACTGACGTGTCTTTGTCTCATTTGGAAAAACATCAAACTAAAGAACTGTTTATAAGAATGACAAAAGCAGTTATGATTTAGTAAAACTGATATTTGTTAACATCTAAACATCATACCAGCGTTTGTGATACTTGTACAATAAAATATAAGTAGAAGCAAGTTTCATAATGTCAATTTTTTAACGATCACGGGTTTGCGTCCGTTTTAGGCGTTTGTGGAAGAACGGTACTCATAGGCGAAAACTCAAACAGGCAATGATAAAACTTGTTTGAACAGCAGTCAAACGCCAAAATGTGTTGATGTCAGCAAACAAAAGCCAGATTTCTTTAGTCTGGAATTACTTAGGAAAATAATTAATTCGTATCTATTATACATGGCATAGCTGTCCTGAAATAATATAGTTTAATATCATAGTTAATATCATAGACGTATTTGGAAATAGAATGAGAATAAATACACTACATTTTTATTGATCTCATAAAGGCAATTTGGTTTACAATGACAAACGTATATTCATACATAAATACAAATTTTGACAAATTTTGTTAAGCTTCAAATGAGGTAGCACCGGCATCTGTGGTGTAGCAGTTAGCTGTCCCCGTTGTTTTATGCACCCCGCCTAATTTAGCAAAATTTCATAATTTTTTGCATAATTTCTGGTAATTTTCCTTTATCATTATTTGTTTAAAAAAACAGAATCGCAAAATTTCATATTTTTGTGCTCAGCTTGCATAATTTCTTAATTGTTCTTGCATAAAACGACGGGGACAGGATTAGGCGCTTCGCTGTGGCACGCAGGAGACCCGAGTTCGATTTCTAGTGGGGAGAAAACTTTTTATCGCTGGAATGTTCTGTCCCTGTCGGCCTGACTAGACCTAATAGGCAGGGTGGGAAGCCCGCCTCCTAAATGATCTTCGTTGTGTTAACGGAGGCGTAAAAATCTTGCTGTTACTCACACATACCTAGACTGAAGGTGGAGAACGAAGAACATTCTGTGCTGTCATGTTACTTTGTATTTTGCTTGTTTTGTACTTCTTGTCGTCTTCGTTTAGTAACAGTTTTACGGCCCTTGCAACACAATAAGGTCAGATAAGCACCAAAGATTAAAGGTGTTTGAAGAGAGTAACAAACACGAAAAAAGAAGGAAGCGGAGAAAATTGAACTCGATAGATGTCTGATAGGAAAGACGACGCTATAACCACACCAGAGCACCCTCCAACTTGTGGTCTTCGTAGTGTTGATTGCTTTCTGATACGTAGAAAGTGAACAACTGAACAAGTACGTTAACTTTTATTTCTGAATCAATTTGACATCAGAGAAAAGACTGGGCTATTCATTTGTCAAGGTGCGGTGGAATCCGGCATTCGTCGGTTTTTGGGCATGTTGAGTTATTGGCATCATCTAAAAGCTGATTTGTTTGCTTTGCTACCCCTGAAATAGAACTCTTGAATAGAACTCGAGGTATTTGAGGTTGGAGGAAGTGAGGTCGCCTGGTTTCAGTTGTGAAATTAGCAAGAGAATGGCCGCCAAAGTTTGGTAACTCCAATATAGCTAAAGAGTCTTGAAAACTGAAAAATGACATTTTTGTGTGCCTTTATTCAATGTTTTTCAGTATAATTCATATGAAATTGTGGGGTTTTTTATGGACAAAAAAAAAAGATGTTGAGCCAAAAAACAAAAATTCGAAAAAAATTTCCAAACTGCCGAGAAAAAAAATGCCTATTTATTCTCCAATTTCGTTATTTTGACAAGCGCCTGATTTCACCACGCTGCCTCACATATTTTATTTGCTGACTACCCTTCTGGGGTGGAAGTGCCAGCTCTGTAAACCTGAATTCTAACTAACCAGGAAGTGAAACCTTATCATTCGGGTCGTCCACATAATTTGGCATTAGTTTCGGCTTTTGTCCAGTGCGGAAAACAAATTGCCCGTATTTCTTTCCACCAAACTGTGTCTGTCTGTCTGAATGTATGTATGTGTGTATATACGTTGCCTGTGTATGTATGTATGTATGTATGTATGTATGTATGTATGTATGTATGTATGTATGT